TACCAAAACTTTTTAGTATCTTTAGATTCATTCCACTTTAAGGAATGAATTTGATACCATTGGTCATCTATTTGTGCAATCAAGTCTTCACTCTTATTGTGATTAAAATATTTGATTAAATCAGTAATAGGTTGTTTGTTAGGGTTTAGTGCACTATCAACACTAATTCTTTTGATCGTGATCATTATGTCGACCTTAGTAGGTAATCGAACTTTAACTTCATTAATTAAATTCACAATAAATTTTATACATCTTTGGCGAATTGCTTTCTCGTCACTCTRCTTTAGTCCCTGTTCTTTTAATTTTGTCATAGCAGTATTAAATCTATACCCTAAATTACATGTTGGATCAATGAAATCATTTATGTTTTGAGTAAAAATATTCACTCTTTGGGTAGGCAATTTGATCTTATTAACAAGTAACTAAATTAAATTTACCAACTCGTCACATAGTTTTGTTGGATCTGCATCTTTCGATTCAAATAATTTATTAACCCTATTTAGTTCAGTAAGTATTGGATAGAGAAAAGCAAGAAACGCAAAGTTAATGTCATCGTTATACATCCCATGCAAGACTTCTGCCGTGTAACATCTTTCGTCTAATTTAGCAATTGAAAAATGAGTTTTTAGCTCCAGCCACTGGTTATATATCCGTGAGACAGCTGTTTCAATTGATAGCCACCTAGTGATAGCCTGAGAGGACTACACGATCTTCAGTGGATCTTTTCCATCATTTATTGCTTTATACAAATCTTTATATTTAGCTTGTCTTGACGCAGATCGAGAGAACCAATTGTAAGTTTCACTAATTTTATACTCTAGATTTCGTGGTAAAAACTGTTTGGCAGCACTAGAGACGGCTAATTGTAGTGAATGACATATACAACGGATTAAAATGAAATGAGGGACCACTCTTTTTAATTTCGCGTAAACACCTTCATTTACACCAGTCATAACTGATGCATTGTCGGTTCCAATACCCATCATATTTATTAATTTTAATTCAAACCGCTGAAGAACGTCTTTAATAGCAGAAACAATACTATTAGCATCACAGTCATTTAACGTCACTAAATCTAAATATGTAGATACGACCTTCTCGGAACGATTACTGTAATAGATTATTACAATTCCTAGGTTTTTCATAACAGCAATATCGGTTGATTCATCAATTAGAATACTGTAAGGTTGACCTTTCAAATCTTCTTTTAGTAGATCAGAGAAATGTGGTGCCCAAACATTCATGATGATATTTGAACACTTGGTTCGATGTAACTTTATTTTATCCTCTTCATTGGTAAAAGAGTGATTAATAGCCTGCCCTAAATGATCAATCACACATACGCCCGTGTGCATGGCTGTAAACAATGAAAGCCGATCCTCTTTTGTTTTTGATACTTTAGTATCTATCGGTTTGAATGGAAGTTTTGGATGAACCGTGATAATCTGTAAATGATGTATATAATGTATTATGTATGTAAATAATTGAAACTACAACTTTATTAAAATTGTAATTTAAAGAAAAAGTTAATAATAAAAAATAATCTTATTTTGGTTTACCTTAGCATTTTCTTGATGTTGTTTGGTCGTTGTATGACTTTTTAAATCTGCATAGTGATTCCGCAACCTTACACCACATAACCTACACTTAGCTACTTTATTGCCGTCATTACCTTCTACAACTTGTAACCAATCTTTTAAAATAAGATCTTTGAGGCAGAAATCTCTAAATTTTTGAGAATACTGTCGTTTTCTAAACATTGTTATATGGAGTACATTACAAGTAAATTTTTACTTTAAAAGTTTTAAAAAATGAAGATTTATTCTGTTACGAAGAAAGAAAGAGCGAABAAGATAAAAGAGAACGTATGAGTATATCAAACAATTGAGCATAGTGGAATGTAGCTGTTAAAATGGCTCCCCCTTGAGATATAACAGGCTATCTTTATTTGTCTTATTCGTAGCTCTTTAAAAGCTCAGCAATTGTGAAGAATATACATATATAGCATATATTATTAATTTTTTGTATTTACCGTCAGGGGGTTTTTACCACTAAAAAAACCACCAGCAACTAAAAAAGTTTTTCCGTCAGAGGGCACTTACCACTAAAAAATCCACCAGCTACTAAAAAAGTTTTTTGCCCACTAGAGGGAAAGTTTTAGTGGTAAAACCACTAAGTTGGCATCACTGTTCTCTACTTGGAACTTTAAAAATCGGAACCAGTTCTTTCATCATCTGCAGAAAACCTTTTCTTTCTACAGTGGAAAATGGCTTGTTGTCCTTTGTAATATATGTGGGGGACTTACTTTGAATTAAACGCTTTAGTTATTTTTAAAATGTAGAAAAATGTTTTATTTATATAACTTATAAACCGGAAAATATAACTTATGATTTCGCTATATCACTGAATGATAATATGTGTATAAAAAGAGTTAGTATATTTCAATAAATGTTTGGGAGGGCACGACCATACTGCGCGAAGTTTCAAAATCGAGTTTCCGTCTTTTTCAACGGTCGCTGTCGGCGTTCATTGCTTTTTGTTCGGTCCGTTCATTCAGGGTGTATGTTTAGAGTTGCATGCTGGATTGCAATCCCACATATTCACAATTCCTTCAGTAATTTTCCTTGATTTAGGGCCATCTTGGTAAGAAATACTTTTGAAATGCTCAAAAAAGTCTTTCACATTAGGTTGGATCAACGCTGCCAACTGATCCGATTTATTTTGCAGTACTGACTGAGTACATGTACTAGGAGACGATTCTATACATGAAGTCTTCTTATTACTAATGTCGGATAACTCACTTGACGCTGTCGTCCCAGCGGTTGTTGAATTGTTAATTATTTCAAAAATTTTTCGCTGTTTTGGCGTAGTTTTGGAGGAGAATTCTGCATTATCAACTTGATCGAGTAATACCTTTTTATGTACATTCACAACGTGACAACGAAGATTCGGCGTGTTACCTGATGTTTTTACTTTCTTCTTGCAGAGTTTGCATGTGGCGGAAGCATCTGAATTTCTTATAAAGAACTCCAGACCTTGCTTTTTAAGTGTGAAGGCCGCATTTTGAAAATCTGAAATATTATGTACATATTTAAACATCTAAAAGCAATTTTTTGAATATATTTTATATTCACTACACGTGTAATAAAGTTGTGATTGACAACAGATGAATTCGAAACAAAACTTACAGTTAGCAAAAAAACAACTTGTACAAGTTAATAAAACACGAGGTTTGGTTTGAATGAAATAATTTTTTATTTCCCTACACTACTTACAACTAACTTTTCGGTGCTACACCTAAATACCTAACACCTATCGTTACTCTACTTGCCATCACCTCACGTGGACTGCCGCATGATCCCATAGTGCTGATTCGGCAATTCCCACAGTTTGGCACTGTTGGTGTCGTTTTCTGCTGACAAGCGTTTCCGCAACAGACATAACGCAACATGAGCCTCGCATCTGCACCTGTTGTTGTAGGCTACTGTGATATGTTAACTTACACTTATTGAACTAAAATAAAATTAAACACAGAAATTAAATTAGAAMAAAAAAAAAATGTTACTTTATAAAAGTAAAATTTTTGTGCTTTTAGTATTTTGTATGGTGCCCTTTAGCTTCTTTAACAGCTAACAGTCTTCTTGGCATCGCATGTACCGTATTTTGTGTTACATCTTGAGCAATAGAACTCCATATATCCTTAAGAGCATTTTTTAAGGTTTCTTTGCCAGATATGTGGCAATTTTTTAATTTCGTTTTCATGGAGTCCCACAAGTGCTCAATCGGATTTAAATCTGGGCTCTGGGGAGGATGAGGCAACACTTTTTTGGTGTTATAAAGCAACCATTCTCTTACCATAACAGCTGAGTGCTTTGTCCCTCCTTTCTCCAAACAGATTTGCGCCCATCACTTCCAAATATATTGAATTTAGATTCATCCGTGAAGATTACATTTTCCCAAAACGAATTATCCTTCTGTAAGTACTCGTTTGGGTACACTAAGCGTTTTTAATATTTGCTTTAGAGAGGAGAGGCTTCTTCCGAACTGCATACGCCTTCAAATCCTGGCAATGGAGGAAGTTTCTTACTGTCTGTGGAGTGACGTCAACTATTTCTGCATTTTTCAGATCATTTGGCATTTTGATGGCGGAAATTTGGGGTATTTTTTTACATAACTTAAAACTTTCCGTTGAATTTGAGGTGTATTTAGTTTTTTTGGACGACCACCTCCACTAGGTGTTTCCACAGATCCGTTCTTTTGGAATGTTTTCACAACATAATGAACAGTAGTATGCGGTTTATTCATTATTTTCCCACAGAACAGAATGAATTGTCGCAATTCTCTTTGTAATTCGACAACTACAGTATTTATCGGATTTGCACAAAATTGGTGCTTATAAACTAGTATTCTTACATCCAAATTTCGCTTATAGCTTATATGCACCATTGGTGCATATATCAAAAACTCTCTTATATGCTCAATTGGTGCATATATAGGATCATTCTTATAAGTACTTATGTATGCATTTGCGGTGTTCTTATAGAAATAATAATTGTTTTTATCGAAAAAATATTCAATTTACAAACTTAAAAACAATGCAAAAATAAAAAAAAAAACAGTTAGTACACAAAAGTTTAGAGATCAATTTTTATCTAGCATTTGCTTATAGCATTTCGTGTTCATTTACATCATTTGTAAACAATTTTAATTTAAATTAATTATTACTGTTTTTGAAGAAATCTGTTATTTTAAATTGAACATTTTTTATGGAGCGTATTGAGAAGTAATACTGCTCAATATTCTCAATTTCTTGCATAAATAAATTAGAAGGCATAAGTGCTTTACGTAGAAGATTAATTGAGTCAAAAACTTCTCTCTTGGTGGGTATGCTTAGTTCATCTTCATCTTCAGACAATTCTGAAACTGCTTCTGCAATTATATCCGCATCAGTCGATTCACCGACTGAGGCAGGGCAAATTGTCATCACAGTGAACGAAATTTTAATATTCCTCGTGAAGAAACTCATCGCTATTCACAAGTTCCACTATTCCTGCTTCTTGTGAAAGCTCTTCAACCTCGAAGGATTCCTTAACAAATTGGCACTGTAAGAAATGAGTATATATTATGCAAAAAGAAAACATAAAAATTATATAAAATAAAGTAAGGCATACATTTTTAAAAATGTTGACAATCGTTTCAGGTTTAACCATCCACCAAGCACGTTTAATCATATGAATCGCTGTCAATAAGTTGAACGATTTCTTAAATTCTTCAACAGTGTTTCCTTTTTCAAGAGCAAGTAATTGCTTCCGTACCATCATTTGGCGATAATATGCTTTAAAAGCATGGATAATGCCTTGATCAAGCGATTGCACAACTGATGTGGTGTTTGCCGGCAGATAAAACATTTCCACATTTTTTAAAGATACTGGCTTGTGAGGAGCGGCATTATCGATGAATAAAATTACCTTCCTGTTTTGACTTTGCATCTTCTTGTAAAATTATTTCAAAATAGAGGTCTATATATCTTGACCGTCAGGCGCTCCTTTGATGACTTAAATTCTTTTGAGTTATCACCACTGCTGGTTAAAGAAGACCTAGGCAATGCTTTATAGGATAGTCCACTTTCATCAGCGTTGAATATGTCCTTAGCGCTGTAATTCTGGATTAAGTTGGGTAGTAATTCAAAAAAGTCATTGGCGCTTTTAATATTCGCAGATGCACCCTCCCCATGAATTTGTTTCACTGAAATGCCTTCACGCTTTTGCCATCGGTACAGCCAACCAAGAGTGGGCTCGAATTCTACATCCATATTGACGGCCAATTGTTGAGCTTTTTCCCGGACCATAGTGCCTGATATTACTGCGCCTGATAAATGCATTTGATTAAACCAAATAGTTACAGCACTTTCAATTTCTATTGAGGTGCTACATCTGTTGCGCTTTCTGTTCAAGTTTTCCAAAGTACCTTGCACAGAAAGTCTTTCTTTTTCACGAATTATACGATTAATTGTTGATAGCGAACATTTATATTTAACGCAGAGTTCGCTTTTGCACGTAGTGAACATGCAGAAAGAATTGGACTTTTTTGGCGGTAATTTAATGTTGTACGCTTACTCATTTTGACATTAATAAAGATGTGCAAGCCAGAAGCATCGATTACATAATAATAAAAGTGCTGCCATATCATACAGTGCACTCGCGGTAACGTGAACTAATTAAAACCAAGGGAGTTCACGTTAGTGAAAATGTTCACGTTAGCGATTGTCGAATTTGAAGAAGCAAAATAACTTCAAATTGCGAAATTCAGGATTTTTACACATTTAAATGTAAAAGTATTTTATTATTGCTATTAGTATGTTCATGGGTATGAACATACATATTAAATTGCGAATAAAATTTCACATTAGATTTATTCATTAAAAAAATCCGTTATATTTTTCTGCTGCTTTTTCCTTTCTAATAGCTGAAATACTGATTTCTCCCTTAAGCGTCTAAGTACACGCATGTCGCTTTGATCAACCATTGCGTCTCCAGCCCTTTGCAATGCCTTGTTAAAGATTTCAACTGCCTCACTTGCGGCAATTTTCTTTATGGGGTCTTCGGCAATACAATCATCATCGTCACTTTCTTCAATTTCATGGATTTCGGTGGTATCATCAACACAAGGGTCATCGTTCCACTCTCGAACCATTGGCAATGTAAGCTCAACCTAAAATAGAAAAAAGTAATAATGATATCAAAGCGTGTCGTAAAACTTCTACCTGAGGACTCAAGTCCTAAAGGAGATCAACTGACATTCGCATTAAAGAGTTTATTTCTGCACTCCGTTTGTATTTCAGAATACTTAATGGAATGTTATATTCAGGGTCCTCCTCGTTTCCCATTAAACTTAAAATGTTTTCCCAACAATTGGCAAGAGTTTCTGTGCTGACCCGATCCCACGCGACAGATAAAAGGGTAACAGCATCTTTCAACGTTACATTTTTCATTGGATTCAAACAAATCTAGTAAGTTTTTTGCTGCTATTGAAGCCAACAAACTGCTTCTGTAATATAACTTCGTTATTTTAATCGCATTTTGATCCATAATTTGGATAAGAGGGGTGACATTTGGCGTCATAAGCATAGCAATTATATTTTTTTGTTTTATTTTATCTTTATATAATTAAAGTTTTATACAAACACACCAGCCCGATTTGCAAAAATAGAAAAACACTTCTTTTATCGTTTTAGTTAAACTTTTATTCTTCACAACCGCACGCTCTCGTTGTCTACAAGTAAGTAAGCTAGGTACGCATGTGCATACAAATATAAAGTAAAAACGTTCT